TCTCTTCATATTTCAAAAGTCATAAGCTATAAGCTATAAGCCATAAGCTATTAATTTTAGCTTATAACTTATTGCAGCTTTTTATACAGAAACCCGATTACAGAAAAGCCCAACCAAACACTCAAAATTTTTCAATCGGGCTTATAGTGAAAATAAACTGCTTATAAGCTGCTTATAATTGATGCCAAACAGGCACTAAATCAATAACCCTTTTTAGCAAATCCATAAAGATGCTAAAGGCACCTAAAAGGAATCCAACCCAATCAAAAGGTCAAGGGCTTATTTGACACAGCTTTAAAAATTATTTATAAACTGTAAAACACAGTTTTAAAAATTATTTATAAATACGTTTTACGTAAGTGGAAACAAATTTTATTAACATATTTATTTCATATTTCATAAATTATAATTAAAAAGCTACTTATAAACTATTCTAAATGAATCCTAAATAATGAAAACTAACCCTAGACTAGTTGTATATCACTCTAATCTTATTTGGTTCTAAATATAAGTCACTTATAGTATATTTTAGTGCTTGTTTCCAATTTTTTTTTATTGGAAATAGAAAAAATATATAGAGAGATATGAGAATGATATGTAAATATAGAGGGAGAAAATTTTAATAAGGATAAAATTAATTTTTTTAAAATATAATACATTCTTTAGTATGAGAAATGTGTTACAAGTTATTTATATTAAAGACCAAGTGGTAGAATTCCCATGATATCTCAAATTTAAATTTAATTGCCTTAAAGTTTTAACTTTCAGCATTAAATCCCTGCCATTACCCCCCCTCAAAAAATATCCAATGGCCATGAAAGTAAGCTCAGTGTTGGCAAAAAAAAAAAAATCAAAGTAAGCTCACTACTTTCATATGATGGAATGATCTTATCGTCTTCTTCAAAATAATGAAAATGGTGTGGACATATATCCGGAAAAAAAAATTGAAAGATAAAAACACGTAAGTGCATCTGAGTTATTCAAGTTAAAATATGCATGACATGCATGCTTTCAACTTGTAAAAAATGCATTACATATAATAGACTCAAAGTTTAAAAATTGTACTCCTCTGATCCTAAATATAAGACGTGTATAAGGGTCTTATATTTAGGACCAGATGAGTACTATTTAGCATATATAAAATAATTTACACAATTTAAAATTGCAATGTCCCTTAGTATTATAATATATACACATCATTTATTGTCAATGAGAAGGACGGAATTACAAATCACAAGGTCGCAATTGTATGAGAATATATATATATATATATATATATATATTGTAAACTGTGACACTCTAGCTAGGTGACCCTCCTTTTATTAAATTAACAATTAATAATTGAACACACTTAAAACCCACCAAAGCAATTAATCAAAGGTTATTTGGAGTCTCTTGTAGTTTGAGATCATATATTCGTTTTGCCAAGTGGTTCTTTCTTGCCATTTCATTCTAATCAATACTAATTAAGCGGATGAATTTTCAAGATATACTCTATATATTGGAAAAAAAATCATGTATGTGAAAAATACTTATATTATGTATAGAAAACACACACACACATATATATTAGAATTGCTATTTTTATCAAAATCTCTAATTCATTATATATATTTATTTATATAAAACTGTATTAATTTATTTATGATAGGGTGAGGAAAGTCTATTCATTTCCGTTGGTTCATAAAAATTTGTAAAAGGTATCCTAAGCAAGAGAGCATAATGAAATCATTTTAGGTGCATGCTTTGTACCATATGCTTAATTAGTAATTAATGAACTGAAAAATATATCAAAAATCAGTGTATCATAAATGGAACATCAGTTCAATTTTCATTATTAATTAATTACAAAACCATATAGTAAGTGTCCCTTAGAGTTGCTCAAAACTAATTATAATTTCTTGAGAGAATTGCAAGACAAGATTGTTTGACATGAACTTCATTGTACACCTAAGTTAACAATAATATATTACTCCTCCTGGCTTTCATTATAAACGTTAAATAACTAATTTACGGATAGTAAATAATTAACTAAAATTAGTTAAAAGTAATCAATGAGTTAAAAATATCTTTTTCTTTTTAAGTATAACCTCCTAATAAATAAGAAAAAGATGAAAAAGAACATGTGAAAAATGTGATAGTAGAGATTGGCAAGGAGAGAGAGAATAAATAATTGAGGGACAAATTGAAAAAAAAAAAAACATTAAATATTAAAACAAATCTAAATTAAAGCTTATAAAATGGATTACATATCTCCTCAAATTTGAAGCTTATAAATAGGATTAGAAGGGGTATTATCTCTTGAAATAATACTTTAAAATCTTAAAGGCTGTAAATTGAAAGGAAAACGTTGCGGCTGACCACAGGAGGCATGCTTCATAAAAGAGGCCATGATTTTTTTTTTTTGGTCCAAAAGAGGCCATGATTAAAACTAAGATTAATCATATTAATGGCTACATCATCTTTATCAATGTGGATGATGCTTGCGTTGTTTCTGGCCAGTGGAGACAGCGGAGCAAAACAAATACTGGGTCGGAGGCGGCAAATCATCCTAGCTGCTTCTACTTCCCCAAGCTGACTGGCTTAATCAATAAGCCTTCGCTCATAATTTCAAAATTGACGATTCTCTTTTTAACCCTAATTCCCTTCCTTACATATTATTCGTCTATATTAACAATTAATTTCTTCATAATAACAATTGCTTCAATAAAATCCTCATTTTAGATTTTCTTCCTTTTTACTTTTGGGTGGCGCAGTGTGGAGGTATGATGAAGCATCATTGTCACTTTATTGTAACCCTATTAAGCGCCTATTTGGTTTGAGGGGAGGGGAGGGGAGGGGTTTCATTTTCAGCTTATTTGGTTTGATTAAAAAGGAAGGAAGAGAGAAATATTTAATGATCTCTTGTTTAGTTCAAAAAGGAGAGGGGAGGTATAGTAATAATCAATTTACCATTTTACCCTTACATATTAGTGTATATTTTTTTATTGATATATTATATAAATTAATTTACATCTTAATTTAAATCATATAATTTAAAAAAAAATTCAGTCTTATCATGTTAATATGTGCATTAAAAAAGTGGCGCAGTATTTTTCTAATTCTAATTAATATAATAATATATTTAAAATAATCAAATTAACATATTTTATATGTTCTAAAAAAATTGAAATTTTATTCTCTTTAGGCTATGCTTTTTTTCAGCTTTAAAATATATTTAATGAATAATATATTTATAAAAACAATTAATTTTATAATATTATAATTTTTTATTTAAATAATGTTTTTTATTTTTATAATAATTTATATTAATTTTTATTATAATATATTTTTTAATTATAATAATTTATATTTTTAATTTTTATTTAGGATAATATATTTTTTATTTAAAATAAATATTATAATAACATATTTTATGGGTAGTTATGGAATATCAAAAAATTATAAAGGTATAATGGTCTAAAAATTTAACTCTCTTCTAAAAACTCCCAATTTGAAGGGAAGCTAAAATGGGAGGAGGGAGAGGAGGGGAGGGGAGCCAAATGAGGGGAGGGGCATTTTTCCTCCCCTCCCCTCTAACCAAACACACCCTAAAGACTAATGCTACATGCCATCGTGGTCTGTAGGGTCATTTTTGTAATAACCATTGTATCAATTAATAATACATAAAAATTGCTACGTACATGAATAATTTGATTCTACCTTAGTAGTACAACTTTAAACTTCTTTATTACACTATCACGATAAAGATGAATTAAACTAATTCAAAGATCAATTACGGTTGAAAAAAGGATACATATGACAACAAAAGATATACTAAGGTTACTAAAATTTAAACATAATATTTAACGTCTACTATGATAGAAAGAAACAACCTAAATACCTATTGCCATAGTAGAGCGACTTTGGCTAATTCCATGAATTCTAAACATACCAAAATACATATTTAGTGGGCTGAGGGCACAATTAATTCAAGCCATACTATTTGCAGCACATCATTCATGAATAAGTCTAGATACTCTAATAAATTAGCCAAGACGATGATTCACAATCATTTAAAAGTTTCCTCAAGGTACTTAATTAGCCACTTTATTATACTATCTCCGATCCTAAATAAAAGACCTAGTTAACTAATTTGATTTGATTAAAGATATAAGTAAAATTAGTTATTTGTAATAAATAGGTGTTGTCTTTTTTAGAATATCCTTAATCATCAAGTTTGTTGACTAGAACTAATACTATTAGAAAGACAATTTTGAAAAAAAATACTCCTCCGGTCCTTATTATAAGACCCAATTTGACTTTTTATTTGGTCCTAATTATAAGACCCAATCCATTTTCTCTCTTATATTTATACATTTTTTTCCAAGATAATCCTTCTAATAATGATAGTTTTAGCCAATATACTTGATTAGCAAAGATATTTTAGGAATAACAACACTTATTTATTATAAATAACCAACTTAACTTACTTCCTTAATCTCCTCAAATAAGTCAATTGGGTCTTATAATTAGGACCGGAGGAGTAGATAAATATTAGAAACCAAGTGGATTAGGGTCTTATATTTAGGATCAAAATAAAAGTTATCAAAAACCAGAGGCAGTAATAAGTAATGACAAATACAATTTCATCTACTGAAAATTCAACTTTGGAAATTTTAAAAGTTGGTAATAACTAATCAGCTAGAGCTTAATAACAAATTGTGGGTAAAAATTAGTAGTTATATTGATTATTATCAATGACAACTATATAACTTCATCATGATAGCTGCCATTTGGCAATTGAACTAATGAATTTAAAGAATGGGTTAAGCTGTGTGACAAAAGGGGGAAAAAAAGTTAAAAAACCGAATGGATTAGCTGCAAATTAATTCGGGGACACAATTCAAAACTCTAGAAAATCATAAGGTATGGAAATTAATTTTTCCTTCTTTTTTTTTTTCCCCCCAGCTTAGCTTATTCTCCCTTGGCCAATTTCTCCCTAGTGCCTCGAGGCGAATTTGCCGGCCCTCTCGGGTTGGTCGTCTCTTTTTAATGAGAGAGAGTCCTGCTTCTGGCAACAAGATAAGAGCAGGATTGTGCCTTGAAATTGGCGACATCACCAGACCCAGATTGCTTATTTAACCCTAATTGCAACCTCTTATTACCAACTCCCTCAATCCCTTTTTATTGCTTCTTCTTTGATGATTCATGGAAGTTGCTTCACTCTCTCCCCTGTCGCCTACGTATTGTTCCTGTAAGCCCTCCTTCACTCTATTTCTTTCTAACGCTTCCTTCATTTCCAGTTGCGTTCTGTTTAACTGCTTTCCTGTTCTGTTTCCTCGTTACTTCTAGGTCGCCGGGAAGTGAGATCCTTGCCGAAGTTGTCTAGTACTCTGGTAATTGTGATCTTCATATTTTCTTTCATGCCGGTGGTTTCTGAGAAGAGGGGGAGAATTGAAATGGATAAAGAGTGCGAAAAAAGTGTCCTTATGTGGGCTTATTAGTTTCTGGTAGAAGCTGAGTTTGTGTATTGCCGTGATTAAGGGCAATAATGAACCCGTTGTATTAGTTGTTTACTAGCTGATTTGGCATTTAGTTATTATTTGTATCCTTTGGCTGAGTGAAGACTATGTTTAAGGATCATGACGGAATTACTAATTCCGATAAGTGTTTCTGGTGGAGATCATGTTTCACCGATTACGCTTTTCTTCCTGGGTAAATAACTAAGTATAGTAATTTGTTTGCTGTCTTCAGAAGTATTTCTGAACTTGAGTCTCGCTTTTCCTTTCTTTTTTGTCTTCTCCAACGTGCCTTTTTGTTGCAATTTAATGTCTCTGAAAAATTACCACATTTTGATGCACAATGGCACCGTTTCCCTTTGGAAGCTGTTATTAGTATTGTGAGTTTTGACTTGTGATCATTTTGTCTGAATACGCCTTGATGCAGTTTTACTGTCATAAAGGTTCCCACATCAGAGATAAAAGTTTGAGGAGTGCACTTAATTGTAAGTATGCCTTTCCTTGAAAAATGCTAAATTGTGTTAAATCATATTATATTAACATGGCATAAATTTTTTTCTTCACATAAATTTTTTGTGATATTGGTTGGCTAATTTATCATATGATAGAAAAATATTCATTTAAATTTCTTCCCTCTCACGCTTTTTATTAATTATCTTGATAGGCTGTGGAATATCCTAATATTAGTTGGAAAACATTTGTTTCAATTTTCATTTATATTCCTTTTCTAATGCTGCAGTTTGTGAACTTTGACCAAGATTTGTGTTTCTAATTCAATGGAATAAATAGTGCCGTTTTATATTATCTGAAGAAGTTTCCTTACCCTAAGTCAGATTGGTAATCCCTCGTTTCATGATTGTCCATACGTTCATGCATGCTTAATAATTTTACTTTCTTTGGGCCATATCTTAATACTTATTGACTATATGAATTCTCACAAGTTTTGTGACGTTTTAGTATACAAATCATTAAAGTCTGATGAATCTTAGTGTATTGGTTTTGAACTCTGATCTCTGAAGTTGCTAAATAGATCACCGATAGGGTTGGCCCTTCAAATTTTGTCTTGGTAAAAGATAAGATGGCCTCATATCATTGTGCTTTTTTTTTTTTGTCAAAATACATAGCTTCCCAAAGTACCTTACCGGGCATACGAAGGAAGCATGGCAGTATGCTATGGCAATCCTCTGATACAAAGGTAGAGGTTTGTGGAATTCGTCACGATTGCAAATTCCATGTCCAGAATAAATTTTCTAGAGATGTAGTTGTAAGATCTGAACTTGCCACAGTTGGGTCCCCAGAAGATGACTATTCTCTATCTAGTAAGCTTGATGATTCAATTTGGTCAAATCCCCTATCATATATTCTTTAAAAATAAGACTAGCTCACTATCAATTTCAAATTGCAGAATTGAAAGTGGAATCAAGGATCAGGGGAGCATGTTTTTATGCCGTTACTGCTTTCACTGCCATATTTCTATTTCTACTGATGCTTGTTGGCCACCCCTTTGTTATTCTATTTGATCGTCATCGAAGAAATTACCATCATTTTATTGCCAAAATATGGTCTACACTTACTGTGACACCATTTTATAAAGTCAACTTTGAGGGATTGGAGAATATGCCGCCTCGAGATACTCCTGCTGTTTATGTTTCCAATCACCAGAGCTTCTTAGACATATACACCCTTCTAACTCTTGGGAGAAGCTTCAAATTCATCAGCAAGACCAGTATATTTCTCTATCCCATTATTGGGTGGGCAATGTTTCTTTTGGGAATGATTCCTCTAAAACGCATGGACAGCCGAAGCCAGCTGGTAATCCTCCGCTACTCTTTATGCAGATAAACTTAGTTCTGCTATATGAGATGTTAATGTGTTCTCTGAAATTTTATTCTCTATGCCTGATGCAAGCATAAATTCAGCAGTCACACCATGGGTATTTTTGCTTCTTCTTCATATAGGACTGTCTTAAACGATGTATGGATCTTATCAAGAAAGGAGCATCTGTGTTTTTCTTTCCTGAGGGAACACGCAGCAAAGATGGAAAACTTGGCTCCTTCAAGGTGAGTTATTGCCAAGATTCCTATGACTCTTTCATCTGATTAGACGATAATTTTTTAAGTAGTTAGCCATGGGAAGCCATGATGTTGGAAGGTATACAAGGACAATTGAAAAAAGTATTTCTCCGCTTAACAAGCAAATGATTTTTAGGTTGTATTCTGGATTTATAATTTTTTAGTGATGTTTACTATGGAAATAGGGTCTCATTAAGAAATGTTTGACTGGGACAGGGATGTGTATTTTAGTTCTCTGATTTGAAGGGAACAATGTGCATTGACACTAGATTTGGTTCAGTAGTCTGTAAATTTCTATTAATGTTTAGCATAATTAGCCTACTTAGGGCTTGATTTGGTCAATGGATTGGATTGGGATGGATTAAGTGTTCTAACATCTGTTGGATGCTCGAAAAGCAATATGATGGGTTGAGGAAGGATGGATCAGGTTAATCAAAATTTTTCTTTTCATCTTTTAACCACTCAAATTTTCTTTTCTTCTGTTTTCATTTTCATCTATTTAGGTGGAACATTAGAAAAGTCGCCGTTCAAATCCACTCCACCCTATTAATGGCGTTCAAACTTTGAAACAACTGGGAGTGGGCATTGTTTATATTTATTTTCATTTAAATTCCAAATTAGAGTGGGATGAGTCAATTCATGGGAACGAATCTGGTGCTTTTTTTTTTTTTTTTTTTTTGCACGTCTCATATTTTATTATTGATTAACACATTGTACGGTATGCACATCTTTCTCCCATCTTCTACATCTTTTATCAACGAAAAAAGGAGACGCACAAGGAAATGCATCAGCAAATGTGCACTAAATCTGCTCCCCTCGTCTACCCCCTTCTCCATTGCTACACATCTCTTCCCCATTACCAGTCATGGCACTTCACTCTCTCTAAAACTTCCTGTCAAGCCTCTAAGCTACTAAATTGGAATGAAACTGCCATCTGTCATGCATGATGATTGGAATGCCACAATTTACAGCGTTCAAATGGAGGAAGATTGTGGTATTACATTAGATTGGTCATCCCCAGGGACAAGGGAGCAAAGAATATGTTCCCTGGCATTCATGCCACTGAATTAGACTAAACCTCTATGTTATCTTCTGATAGAGCCCAAAGCAGAATAGTAGAAAATTGGCACTGATTTATATTAAATCAAATGCTCTTCCCTTCAATGAAATGAAAGACAGTTACAATATAAGAAAACTTGCACAAAGTTTGCGCTTATGATACAGAAGGAAGCGCTCTGAAACAGAAACAGAAAATGAAATCTTCCTCCACCCCCAACCTGGCATTTGAGAGGCCAGCACTCTTCTTCACCGCACTCAGATTACAAATTGGTTCTTGCCCCCCAAGGATACACCAACAGCCAATATAAGTCAAAAAAAGTGATGCACACAGCAAAATACTCTATTGACCTTAGGCAGGTCTGAAACATCCTAAACAATAGTAGCTTTCCGCTCTTCCTCCACCCCCAACCTTGGCATTCGAGAGGCCAGCACTCTCCACCACACTCAGAACACACGCAGACAGACACAAAAACCCAAAAGGATACACCAACAGCTAATGTAAGTCGAGAAGTGATGCACTCTGCAAGATATCCCTTGACCATGGGCAGGTCTGAAACATCCTAAACAATAGTAGCTCTCTGCTCTTTCTTCAAAATAGTAAGGTCAACTCCCTGGTTATTAGGGAGTAACTTTTCTTTTTCTTGTATCTCCCCACGTCCCTTTTATGGATCTAAGCAATTCTATCATCTTTTCTTGATGATTTGCAGAAGGGTGCCTTCAGTGTTGCTGCAAAAACCAATGCGCCAGTTGTACCAATTACTGTTATTGGAACTGGCCAAATCATGCCTGCAGGAAGGGAGGATATAGTCAACCCAGGTTCCGTGAAAGTTGTTATACACAGACCTATTAATGGAAGTGATCCTACGATCCTATGTGAAGAAGCTAGGAACACTATCGCAAGTGCGCTAGATTCTCAAGAGTGAGAAATGCATGTATGGAGACCCCCGGCTCTGCGATTCTTCTTTTGAGCGTATTTGAATTGAATCTTTCAGATACCAATCATTTATTTTTTATTTTGAAAGAAGCAAAACGTCTGATGAAGATAATGTCTTGCGAAATTTAGAAGGCTGTCTTCATTTCCCATTTGCTTCCTTCAAAGTAATGAAATATCAAAATAAAAATGTTGGCCAAAGGAAATATCAAAATAATGATAATAAAAAAACTGTTAGAATAATGGAGGTGAGATAAATTAATAAATAAAATCTGCATCGTCAAACAATTTATCTCTACCCCAAGATTGTGCTGCTCTCCTGAAGCATGCCGCCACTGTCAGGCTGATTTGTTGAAGACGATCCTCAAAACAGCCTTCTGGATTGAAGTTACGAAGAAGGTAAATTTCCATTGTTTTCTTTTCCTGAACAAGGGATAATTAACTTGTAGCAAGGCTAAACTTTTTTTTTTTTGGGGTTAATCTCTTGGTTGCAGGTCATTGCTAGGATGCCTCATTTTGATTTATGCTGTACCAGAGGGTGTGTTATCTGAGTTTGCACCTGTTCTAGCACTCAGGTCATTTGAGATCTTTCGGATTGAATCTTCCATGTTAGATTAAAATCTTTTTGTTTTTTTCTGGGCAGCCGCTGAAGCAAACTGGTTTTAGAACTAGTGTACACATCTTTTTGTTGACGCTTAACCCTTCCATGCATCTTCTGTGTAAATGATTGACTAACCTTGTGTATGGATGGAGTGAAGAATAAGGGAAAGACAAAACCGAAGGAGAAACGAGAGGGAAAATTGATTTTCTCCTCTTTTGATAATGAGAAAAGGTAAAAAGCGAAGAAAAAAGAGGTATGCAGTTCACACGTCTTTTTCTTTGAAGTTTTCCCCCTCAAATGAGGTGATTTTGAAGAAAAAAGGTGCTTTCCAAAATTGCCTTAAAGGAGAGAGAATGAGCATGGCAAACGTCCTTTTCATATAGATATTATTATTGTTAACTTTCTATTCTGTTTGTTTATGCAAACACAAGGATTAAAAAAAGAAGAAGGATTTTTTCTATTTTTCCCCCCTTTATTTTTTTCTCTTATTTTCTTCCCTTCCCTCCGCCCGTAGAAGTGAAGTTGGAGCTGGAAATCCATAGGCCATAATTTACATGTTTGGTATCATTGAATTGAGTTTCTTGTATTGACCAAAAAAAAAGAAGAAAGAATTGAGTTTCTTGTAGAACCCACTTCCATCAAAATTGATGGATCCAGCTCCCACACCCATGGGACCTAGTCTACGTTCCCTTCCTCATATCTCAAACCTCTCTCCCCTTCCCTATTTCTCTCCCGCTTTTGGACACCAGCAAGTCCACTAGTGGCGGTGGTGACAAGTCTCGGCGTCTCTAGCTACAAACGCAACCCCGTCTTCTCTTCAACCCCTGCCTTTCCTCCATCCTTCCTCGTCTTCTCTCCTCCTTCAACCTTCACCCCCACGTTCATCCTCATCCCGTCCTTTTCAGCTTCCACTGACTGTCTTTGATGATTATTCATTTGGTGCTTGAATGTTTCTTTCTTCGATGGCTTATCTTTTCTTCAATTTTTGATTCTCTTTGGGGGATAAAAAAATATGTCTCGGATCTATAATGGATGTTATGTATTTTGGGATGGTTTTGTCGATGACCTAAGGTGGTTGTGAATGGTCTGGCTGTGGATGGTTCGACAGTCGTTATGGATTAATTAGGTTTGTTTTTTTTCATAATTTAAATACATAGATAAAATTTCGTTAGATTTTTATGGGTATGCTATGTGACTCTTACATTTTCATTTGTACTCTCACTTTCATCAAAACCCCTGTCACAATGCCAAACTCTTAAAAAAAGGTTTTTTTTTTTGTCTATATGGTGAAAATATTTTTTTAGTGCAGCCTAAAGTATTTTTTTACCCTTTTTCTGGTGAAAATATTTTTTTAACCCTTTATAAATTTAGAAAAATTGCGCAGAGTTAACGCGAGAATGTATATTAAGTGGTCCTCGTGGGGCATTAAACTATGTCGTATCGAGAATGTATATAGAAGTGATTGCTTTTTGCGGCCACGACTATTTCAATCTCACGATTCGATTTCTCACCACTTTCCTGGAAGCTCCGTCGTTCATGACAACGCCTATTATGCTTTAAATTCGTGTGCCAGTTAGAAATATTTTCTAAATTAATAAATTATTCATGTTTTCAATATTAATATTCATATAATGTAAAATCATCAGTAGAAAATGTCAAATCTTGAGTTTAATACCATTCAGCTTAATGTTCACGCATAGCTTGTATTGTTTTATACTCCTTCTGTTCTTTATTATAAGAGACAAATAATCAAATTACGTTGATAAAAAAACAGTTAAAATTAGTTGAGGACAATTAATGTGTAAAAAGTATCATGTTTTTTCCAATAATGTTCCTATTAATAAGGAGAGAGAGATGAGAGAGAACAATTAAGGGTGTGTTTGGATTAACGGTGGAGAAGTAACTTTTTTGTCAATCTGACTTTTACAGAAGTCAGATTGGAGAAAAGCGGCTTTTTTGAGCTTATTGTATAAGTCCGTTTCAGTTACAGAAGTCAGATAGCCCCACTGCAGATCCAAACATGTAAAACCACAGTCACATTAAAAGCCAGATTGGGACGCACGTTTGGGGTCCAAACGTGGTCCCAAACGGACCCTAAATGATTAAAAGAAAGAGAAGTGAGAGAGAGAGAGAGTATGAGTTGGAGATAAAATAAATAGGGGTAAAATAGAAAATCAATACAAAAAAATAGAGACAACTTCTAAGTGTCTCTTATATATGGAAACATGCCATAAACATCAAATGTCTCTTATAATAAGGAACGAAGGGAGTATTTATTTTAGTTATGAATAGTTAGCAACCCATCTTATTTTCTATATTTATTTATTTTTTCCGAGGTAGTCTTTATAATGGTAGTTTTAGCTAATACACTTGATTAATAAAGATAGTTTAGAAAAGACAATACCTATTTATTACAAATAATTAACTTAACTTAATTAGTTTTCTTAATCTATTCAAATTAATTAACTAATTTTTATATTAAGAACCAGAGATAACTATCTAGACTCACTCGTGCAAAATAAAAGTGTCCTGGGTTTTTTTTTGGGTTATACTTAAAATATATATAAATTATTTAAATCTCAAATTTAAACGGATTAAATTAATGTATTCTTTTACAAGGTATTCTCATCATTTGTCGTCTTCTAAATACGGTAGGTGGCCAACGGCGACTTTTGGCTTCTTTGTCCATTTTGAGTCTTTCGTATTTTCGCCATTTGCCATGTTTTATTGTTTCATTTTAACTCGCTATTATAAACGAAAATAAATTACTTAAATTTTTTTGGCACAAGAATTATTCCGTGCATCACGCAGGTACAAAGTTTAGTTGGAAAAAAATAAAACTTGTGTGGTTTATATATTCAAGGTACTTGCTCTCGATTAATTAAATCATATAATTGTACAAAAAGAATCACATAATTTTTAGAAAGAATTGCGATAAGGTCTGAAAAAACGTATTACCAAGAAAATCTTATAACAACTGAGCAGTTTGTATGATAAATAGTTTTAGCTGCTCACGATTTTTTTTTAGTAATTATATTTCTTTTTCTAGTCTCACAGGAGTTCTTTCTAAATTCTATATATTATTATATAACAAATTCATTTTATTAACATTTTCATATTCATTTGTGTTGATGTGATTGAATAAAACAATGTTAATTTGTACAACTAAATATCTATCTCTTTCTATTTTATTTTATTTTTGATAAAATTCATATTACCGAAAGGAATTCATATTACTTGAATCCCTTATTATATTATAGTGAGGTGTATTCTATATACTACCTTTTATCTTTAATATAAGATCTCATTTGATTTTTATTTAGATCTTAAATATAAGATTTCAATCCACTTTGTTTCTCATATTTATCTTTTTTTTTAAGATAGTCCCTCTAATAATAGTAGTTCTAACAAATAAACTTGATTAGTAATGATATTTTAGGAAAAATAACACATATTTATTACAAATAACTAATTTAGCTTATTTTCTTAATCTAATTAGGTAACTAACTTTTATATTTAAAACCAGGGTAGTATTACATAAAGAATTAACCATATTGTCTATCCGTTTTGTTTTTTTAACTGGAAAACAGGATTGCAAGCAAAAGGAAAAAAAAAAGCCCAGGGGTAATATTACATAAAGAATTTTTTTCATTTTGTTTTTGTTGTGCCAGCTCCTAGGCTTAAACTCACAACTAATTCAGCGAGATCATTCTGTGTATTTTTTGATCCGACCATAATCTGAATTTGTATATTTTTACTTATAAATAGTGGATTATTATGAATGTGCACTCCCTTCGGGACATCTGATAATTCCGGAATGATTTTATGAATTTTATATTTGATATGTTTTTGCCGAAGGAATTTTATATTTGATGTTGAAAGATATTAAGTAAGTAAAAGAAAAAAAAGATATTAAGTAAAAAAAAAACCATTTTTGATGTGTAAATTAAATACTACCTCCGGTCCTTAATATAAGATCCAATTTGATTTTTAACTTGGTCCTAATTATAAGACCCCAATCCATTTTGTCTCTCATATTTATGCATTTTTTCAAGATAGTCCTTTTAATAATAATAGCTCTAACCAATATACTTAATTAGTAAGGACATTTTAGGAATGACAACACTTATTTATTACAAATAACTAACTTAACTTATTTTTTTAATCTCCTTAAATTAATCAACTGGATCTTATAATTAGGACAGGAAGTAGTATTGATATTCAGATGCCTAATCAATTTGAAGAATTATGCGTTTAGACTTTGGACCCAAATCCCAGACCGCGTCCTCTTTCGTTTTACATTTTTTTAAGGTAACGAAGGACAGTTCGTTGACCTTTTATCGGAAATCTTGGTGTAATAATTTTTTGCCCAACAAGAATTAGCAAAAGATATTTTTCTGATTTCGTTTTTCTGTCTTCCTCTTCGCCCGCTTCTGCTCAAGTCCTTCGAAGTTGCAATCCCCTGGTTTCTCTCAAATGATGTTCTGCTGTAAGTTGCTTGCTTCCTCCTAACTCTCCGTCTTTTGCTTTCCCAAATAATCGCAGTCACTAGAAGATCGAGTTTGTGTTCGTTAGGTCCGTATGATTTCTTTTTTTCACTTTATATATATGTCTGTGTGCTTGTGCTTATAATTTGACGAGAATAGATGCACATAATTTGATTTTAATTTACTTTGTGGCATGGGGCTGACAGTTTTTGGGGGTGCCGTTTGCAGTTGCAGTTGAAGTAGTCGGGTCGTCGTTAATCTGAAAAACCACTTTGTTCCTCATTCATAATCAGTGATTTTAATGGTTTGTTTTTGTGGTGAACTGGTGATAGTGCTAGTTGATAGAGGCGCGCTCTTATTTTCCTTCAGGATTGATGTGGGGTTCTCCTTATCAGTCATAATCCGGGAAAAAAAAGAAGAAAAAGAGTAACCGTTGAACATGATATTCTAGATTAAAATGGTTTTGATTTTGAAAGAAGGGAACTATTTAGTTAACCCAAGTTATCTCTCTTAAGGTATGGGTTCTATGGGCTTTAATTACTGATAAAACTTTTTTGATGGATTGTAGAGTGGTTGAACTGTAAATCATAATAAATTGCATAGATACCTTACGTTGAATAATCTGGATCGCTCCCATTATGGAATCACAAGCGGAGTTGATTGACTTTACATTGACGAAGTTATTCTTGGTTGCACTGAGTTTAACTGGAAGGGCTTTACTTCTAAGATTTATACGTATGTGTATGTATTTATAGATGATCCTAAGTTATGAGGGTTATTGATTGGATTGTCATTGATTTTTTAATTGTAGTAGTCACTTATTCATTTTTAGTGACGAACTTTACAGATTCCCTCCTCCCCACCTCTCCTCTTGGGATAATACTTCCAAATTTCTTTTAAATTTTTATTTTCATTGATTATGCTCATAGGAGCGCTTTCGTTAAACTAAATGCATGTTTATATCCTCAAACTGTC